GGTTTTTTTCTAACCTGGGGCATCTTGATTCAGAGGTTTGGGATTCCATTTTTCCCTCAGTGATTGTTAACCGCTCTCTCAGGGCACATTTTACTCCAAAAGCACTCTGCACATGCTTAGTGAGATCTAGCCTAATTAAACAAGGTGCAGGAATTTGATCAGAAATTGCCACATCCCAATTTCCAATCCAATCGCTATTGGGTGTTTTTTTTTTCACTTTAGCCATGGGTAAAATCACTGGAGTAGAACTTATTCTCTTGATGGTAGTCTGGTTTGAGAGAATTTGTTCTTTAGGAATCACCTCAGGATGACACAGGATTATGTATCCACCACTTCTACATAAAACTTTTCATTAATAAGAATCCTCTCACCAGGTTTATGAACTAAAATACAGTGGTGCCTCACTTGATGATGATAATCCGTTCCACTGAAATCACTGTTTAGTGAAATCATTGTCTAGTGAAAAGCATTTCCCTATTGGAATGCATCGGTTTGTGAAGCAGGAACCAAACATTGTCCAGCGAAATTCCCCCATAGGAATCACTGTTTTGCGAATCGCTATAGCGATCACAAAAAGTCAATGTCTAGCGAAAAAACTGTCATGCGGGGTAACTGTCTAGTGAGGCACCACTGTATCTTCTGCCTTTACTAGAAGATAATGAACAATCTGGACTATTGGCAGATCAGAATTTTCTGTCATGCTAGTTGCCATGGAGACAGAACCTTGGTTACTGCTTTTCTCAGTGAGTTCAGCTGGTTTTAAACAGTAAACCTTCTTGGGCTGATTATCATCCTTCCCAATATTAAGTTTATTTTTCATACAATGGAACTGTAAATGACCGAACTCTCTGCAGTTATAGCACTGTCTTCTTCACTCACTCTGAGGAGAACTATTCAACTTTAACTTTTCCTCAAGGTTCAATTGGGTCTGAGAACTAGGCTGTGCTAATTTAGGTGAAGTACTACCCTGGCCTTTCCCTGATGTTTTGCTGAGGTAGTTTTTATTAAAGGGTTTCTTATGATTGTCCCAGTTCTGCTTGTTAAATTTTACCTCAGAGAACTTGTAGTCTCGAATCTCCCCAATGTAATTAGCTGTTTCATGTGCTTCTAGCAGATTTTTGGGATTTTTGTCCTTAACTAAATAATGTGATTCCCCAGGCAAAATAGAATAAAATTGTTCTAACCCAATCACATTTTTCATATGCTCTAGAGAAGTGATATTTTCACATTTCATCCAGTTGTCCAAACATTGAAGAAGTTTAGCCCCTATCTGGGAGTAAGATTCCTCAGGCTTTTTGGTCAGGGAACAAAATTTTCGCCTCAGGTGTTCTGCATTGATACCAAATCTAGAAAATACAATTTTTCTATATGTATGAAAATCTCTAGCCTGCTCCAGAGGCATCTGAGAATACAGCTCAGCTAAATCTCCACTTATTTGGGATCTCAAAACCATCATCCTTTCATCATCCTTAATATTAAAGTTCCAGCATGCTCTTTCAAATGATATGAGGAAAGATTCAGGGCAATCTCCTTTTCTACATTGGGGAAATTTCTTTAAATCAATTTTTGAGAGATTTACCTCACTAGTGTAGTTCTTGTTATTACTATTATTGTTTTGAGCAGCCAATTCTAATCTTCTCATTTCCATTTGAAATTCCATTTGTCTTTTTTCTTGCTCCAATGCGATTTCTCTCTCTCTTAATTCTATTTGTCTGGCATCAGCTCTCTCCTTTTCTCTGATTTCTAGTTCCCAGAGCTCTAGCTCCTTAGCTTTCTCTTCAGCTCTAGCTTTTTCTCTCTCCTTAATCTCTAATTCCTTGAGCTGTAGCTCCTTAGCTTTCTCCTCAGCTCTGGCTTTTTCTATACAGTCATGCCCCGCTTTACGATTGCCCCACATTATGACAAAACCGCATTATGACAACGTTTTTGCAATCGCTTTTGCGATCACAAAATGATGGTCTGAATAGGCTTTTTTCACTTTGTGATGGTCGGTTCCCTGCTTCAGGAACCGATTCTTCGCAAAACAACGATTTTCCTACAGCTGATCGGCAGTTTCAAAATGGCCATGGGATAAATAAAATGGCTCCCCGCTGTTTTCTGGGATGGATTCCTCTCAAGACAGCCACCGAAAATGGCTGCCCTATGGAGGATCTTCACTAGACAGTGAGTTTTTAGCCCATTGGAATGCATTAAACGGGTTTTTATGTGTTTTTAATTTTCGCATTACGACGTTTTCATTCTGCAGCGATTTCGCTGGAACGAATAAACATTGTAATGCAAGGCACCACTGTAATTTCTAATTCCTTCAATTTAAATTCTTGTTGTAACTTCCATTTTTCAAAATCTAGGGAGCTTAGACCACTTTCTCTCCCTGAGGCACCCTCATGGGTCTCCTCCTGTTCCACAGCTAGAGGGTCTCCATTTCCCTCCACTTCCTGAGGTAAACATTGTGCCTCATGAGGATCAATTACCTCCATTCTTAGCTTTCTAATTCTTTTGGCTGGCATAAGTATGTGTACTTCTTTGATAAGAGCTGGTTTCTATTGCAGAGTTAGTCAGGCCTCTTTTTAAAACACTATTTTACTGTTGTTGTTTTTTCCAGTGTTTTTCTGGTGTACTATGTAGCTCTCACTTGGTAGCTAAAGATAAGTACACTTTTTCTGGCATCACGCCAGCCATGACCTTTTTTGGCCTGAGACAACCTTCTGTTTTCAAGCCTCTGCTTTTTATGTTCCTTTCACCTCAGATCTGTTCTGACCCTGGCTTCTGCTTTTTATCCACAAGCACTCTCTTAACTCTCAAAGCCTTGGACTTTAAGCTAGCCCACTGGGTCTTTTGAAATCCTGAGGTAACCTCAAAAGGAATTTTCCCTACAGAGTCGTTTCCTATCTTTAGTCCCCCCCCCCAGATCTGGGAGCAGAAGCCCCACCAATAAGCTTTACCACTAAAGCTCTAGCAGGTAACCCACTTCTTTACCACAGACCTCTGACTAAAAGGTACCCTTGACTCAAAGGAAATTCACTTTTAACTCTGGCTTGACTGGATTTTTTTTTCGGATCCCGTCGCTAGACACCAATTGTGATGTTCACCTCTTTGAGGCACCTACTTTTTGTGCCCTCAGAAAGGTTCCAGTCTTTGTTTCTCTCACCACCACCAGTGGATTACCTCTATCCACAATATTAAAGACGTTTGATCAGACACTACATGTGAATGCAAATAAAACTTATTTATTGAAGTGTAGCAAAGTTAATAATAATCACAAATGTTCTACAGATGTTCATTGTACACAAGCAAATCATTCAGAGGTGTCTCTATACACACTTTCTTATTTCCAAATAATTAATTACCACCTTCTCTGTTTATCTTAACCAGTTTGGCTCTATCAATATCTGTTCCTTCTCTCTCTGACTCTGACTAACTCTCACTGACTCACTCCTGACTCACTCCTGACTGACTCTTGGCTGACTGACTCCTCTCAGGCTCCGCCTTTTAACCTCTCTCTCAGCTCCACCTCTCCATCACATTTGCATAGAACATGAATAATACATGACTTATACCTAACAAAGGGTGAACGCTACAATGGGTCTACAGACTGTATGTTCGGGGGGGAAACCCTGAAAAAAGCTGTGTGGTAGTTCTTATGGTGGGCATTTATCTGGAGATTTGTGGAGCTGTTGGAGCCTGGATTTCATGTTCACCTCTGCATAGGTGTAGTTTTAACTCTGTTCGCCGAAGCAGAGAAGTTTGGCCCAGCAATCCTGTGAGTTCAACAGACTTTGGGCAGGAGTTTGTACTGGACAGTTATGGCTTGTTTCCTGAGTTAAGTGTTTTTGATCCAATTATGAGTGGTGCCGATCATCATGTAGATAATAAAGATAAAGATGTTAGAATAAAGAAGACGTCTCCTGTGATATTACCCGCTCTTAAGGTTTCCCATAGTAGAGACAGAGAGAGAGAGAGAGAGAGAGAGAGACTGAGACTGACTCAAAACTATGAAAAAGAACAGGCAAGCAAAACAGAAAGCTTGAAATAAGGCGGGGAAGGGTGGCTTTTTAAGATGTTGTCTAGGTTTGTCATCGCTTTCCTCCCTCCCTCCCACCCTCCCTCCCTCCATTTTCTATATACATTTTCTACATACATTTAAATAAGCTTGATGAAGCCCTCGGTCTCTCACACCTTCCTTCCCTCCTTCCCTTGTTAACTTGATCCTTTCCCTTCTCCTGCTTGCTTGCAGTCATCTCTGGCGGAAGCAGTCATTCAGAAGCCCTGGATTGATTGATTGCCCGGGGCTATTCCACAGCTGTAACCAATCAAGCAGACTTATCTCTGATCTCTGAAAGAACGGAGGATTTACAAGTGCCCTGTTGCAACCAAGGAAGTAACAGGGAGAGGTGGCTTACAATTTGAGGTTTGGCTGCAAAGTGTGGGGGTGGGAGGGATGGGGTAGCGCTCTGTTCATTACCCCCAGGATTTTCACTTTGACCCCATTTGGGGTAATTTACCCCTGTTCTCCAACCACTGATCTATGTAGCATGTAGCTATATTGTTACATGTCTGTCTTCAGAGTAAAGAAAATAGAGGAAGGAGGGAGGGCAGCTAGTGAAAGAAGCAACAGGCAGGCAGGGATAGTCTCAAAGATTCTGAGGTTGAAAAAAACTTACTCTGGCGTGTTCAGAGCCAGCTCTCCATTGGCACCAAGTATTAAAAGGAGAAGCACGTGAGGCTGTAATTTTCCAAAAATGGGGTGTGTGCAAAGGAGCTGTCTTTCTTTCCTCTCCTGGTAATGCTGTGGAAGGATGCAGAGATAAACATTTAGCCATGCTTTCTGAGGACTTGTTTTCTTTCCATGGCAACATGTTGCGGCTCAAATGGCAGGTGATGATGAGGGGAAAGTGACAGTGCTAAGGTTGGTTATTTATATGAAAGTGAGTGACACCCTGTGAAACAAGCCCTTTTGCCTGATCATGTTCCTTCACCTGTTGCACCTCTACCAGGGCTTGGAAAAGAATCCAGAATCCTGACATGGACTACGTACAAGTTTTGGAAATAAATTCCACAGGTCCTGTGTGCTGTGTATAATAGGCAACAAAATAGGTGAAAGAGGAATATCAAGAAGGTGAGCTTTGACCATTGGTTAAAAACTAATAGTTGTAACTTAAAAATAAATAAATAAATCACCCTCTGTTGGTACCTCTCCAGGGTTCTGTGTGTACAGATCTGGCTTTGTGACAGACTCAGTATAAGAATGGTCGCACTCCCTCTGCTGGTGAGAGTGGGCATATCTCCTCCCCAAGAGTAAGGGCGAGATTCTCAAACCCCAGTTCACCCATGGACTGGGGTGGAGGTACACAAGAGGCTGGAGGGCTGGGAATTAAAGGGAGGAGGGCTAAGTGGAAGAGGAGGACCTCTGGGAAGAGAGACTGTTGACTGAGAGGTGTTCAAGGCTCAAGAAGCACAAGCAGTACTGGAGTGCCTGTTGGGAGACGACAAGGGACATATTAGCCCATGGCCAGGCCACTAGGTTTCAGGTATTTTGGGGGGCCCTCTACAGAGTGCATAGTACTTTGACCATTGGAGCCCAAGGCCACCTCAGGGGAAAAATCGACAGGCCCCCTCATCCCTGCAGGGTCTCTAGGCTTCAGCCTAGTTAGTCTTATGAATAATACAGCCTTGGTTGGGGTCCTGACACGACATTGGGAGGATTCTTTGTGCTGCTGGAGGAAGCAGCTCAGGTATGCCAAGAGGAGGTGAGAGGTGAAGCATCTAGAGAACCATCGGAAGGCGTGCCATCAACAGCAGGGGCAAGCCACCCTGCTGCAAGGTTCACCCAGGAAGTACTCCCAGCATCAGCCAGCTAGTCCTCATCCTATCCCACCTCCTTCTGCACCTCGTTACTCCAGTAAACCTACCCATGCCATATAGACTTTGGTTGTGCTTCCAGGAATGAGTATCACACATATGGTGCAGCTGCTGCTACTGGCACTTATGGAAGAGTAGCTGGTGAAGTTGCCCAGGCTGCACTATTTCAGAGACAGCTGAACACCTCCATTCAACACCCGTTGTGGCACTCTGTGCCTGGCTCACCTGAAGGGTGTCCTTGAATTGGGACAGACTCCACTCCTTCCAGCAAAAGGACTGTTGGCAGACTGGTTCTGTTGACCTGAACTGTTTGAGAGGACAGTTAACTCCCTGGTACCCATACAATTATTTAAGTTTTGTTGTTGATCGACATTGACTCTGTTATGGTTGCACTGGTCTAATAAAAAAGCCTATTTTTGCAAATTCTCTTGGTGTTTTCATGGAGGGGTGTGAGACGCCCCCTCACACTCAGCTACATCTAGTTTTTATAGGGGAACATTCTAATTAACAATAACCCCTCCTTACACATTTTACAATCTTTCTTGTGCCTTGGTAGGCTAGATGAATTCTTTTTGGGAAAAAACCTCTTGCATTCCATCATAGGAACTGCTATAAAATGTAGGTGATTCCACACCCATTTGTGTTTCCTTTTAATTTAAAATAATTTGTGCTGAGTTTTGTATTTCTTTTTAATGTTAAATTGTGAATGTAAAATTCTAGGTGTTCGAATTCATGATCTAGAAGTGATGGGGAAGTGGAAAGGTTTTTCAAAATCCAGAGGGATGTGTAATGTCAAAAGTTTGGAAACCTCTGCTGAGAGGGATGTAGTGGATTCGGCAGTGGTCCCCAACCTTTTTAGCCCTGCGGACCAGCTGGAGAAGGCGGGGCCCCTCCCTTCACTCGTGCGCATGCGCAAAGGAGGGGGCTCTTGTGCAGGCACGCACACGCTCGTGCAGACATGGACATACTCATGCACATGCACAAAGGGCAGCATGGTGCTCAGGGGGCACTCATGTGCATGTGCAAAGGGGTGGGGAGCGCTCGTGTGGGCGTAGGAGTGCACACACAGGTACAAATGGGCTGTGGGGGAGGAAGCACGTGTGGGGGTGGGGGGAGGTCTGTCTCCGTGGCCTGGTCTGGCTCAGGCCACAGACCGGTATCAGGCCACGGACCAGGGGTTGGGGACCTCTGGATTAGAGGCTACTGCACTTCCAAATGTTACCATAGCTTTCTGCCTGTATCCTTTAAGTTCAATATGAAGTGCAGGACAGCCCAGTGGTTTAGGTTGGGAGTTTGATTCCCCACTGGACTGGATGATCCACAGGGTCCCTTCCAGCTCTGCAGTACTAAGATTTCTAAGAATGAGCTGTCTTTAAATCAGCTTTTATTTAAAAAGAGTCTTGTTGTACAATCTTGCAGTCAAGAATTGAATCTTCTGGGTGTATAATCTTTTGACAAAGAAAATAGGGGGAATGAGATAACTCTTAAAATACTCTGGATACAGTTTCTCGTTCAGTAATGACATCTCTACATTCTGATGTCAAATACAGTTTTGTGGGAGTGTATCTTTTTTCTTTTTCGAAAGCATTAAAGAATACCTCCCCCCTCCCCCCCAGCTGATGGGGAAAATGATAATATGATTTTGTAAGAAGGAAGAGGTGAGGAGGGGCCTCAAATCAATATTATTCCCACTCCCCTCCATACCTAAAAATGGCCCTGTGGAGAGTATCGTCATGGTGTTGGATTGTGCTCCACTTTTCATCAGACTTTGGAACGCAGCAGTAATTACTAATTTGATATGTTGTAGGAATGGTCTAAAGTATCTTTGGTTGTTATTTAAGTCTAGAAGAGTGCTAAAGAATGTCAGCTAGCTTGATTGAAACAGCGTCTCTCTTAATGTCAGCTGCTATTCCATTTGTTTCTATTCATGGTTTGGAGCAAGGAAATGTAATTTAGTACATTTATACTACCAACCAAACCATGTTGAACTTTTGGTAAGTCCACTTATTCCCTAGATCACAATTTTTAAATTGTGTTGGGGGGCACCAAGGGGGCCTTGAACTTTTCTCAACAAGTAAGAATCTGAAGTAGAGTCTTTTTTCTTCATAGAGCAGTGATCTGGCTTTGAAATTAGTCTCCACAATATCTCCATAACAGATGGAAATCTGAGGAAGTGGATTTGATCCATGGAGGCTCACATTAAAATGTTAACAGTTAGTCTATAAGGTGCCACAATGTTTTTTTTATTTTTATTTTGTTTTTGCCTGATATGATTTTAAGGGGTGTGGGACTGTAAACAGAAAATTTAGGGGGAAATCGAATTCAGAAAAGTACTAAAGGTTATATTTACATTATTACCACTGGCCATCCAGAGAACTGTTGCTCAGAACATAAACACTCTGGCATTAGTATGACAATTAAACACAAGTACTGTAGTGGGATTACAGTTCAATATTGATTGATTGATTGATTGATTGATTGATTGTTTGATTGATTGATTGATTGATTGATTGATTGATTGATTGATTGATTGATTGATTGATTGATTGATTGATTGCATTTATATGCCGCCCATCTAGACATAGTCTACTCTGGGCGGCTCACAACTTAGAAGATAAAAACAATTTAAAATATACAGTTTTACATTAAAAAACAAAATGATATAAAATATAATATAAATTTATGATTTTAACAGTTAATTTAAAGCAAAGAGTCCCAAGATGGCAAGAATAAAAGAAGAAAAATAAGAATGACTTAATTGACCGAAGGGAAGGCCTGCTTGAATAGCCAAGTTTTCAGCTGGCTTTTGAAATGCCCAGGTCTTGTAATAAATATTTTTGTTATGCTCTGGAATTTCTTAATACTGTAAATTGTTTCCAAGTGGGTAGCACTTTTAGCCACTTGCAGCAGAAACAATGAGGAGTCTTCTAGCATCTTTAAAACTAGCACCAGCTTTCATGGACTTTAGTCCATATGCAAGGAATGTGGACATTTATGCTGTGCAGGAAGGAAGGGAATGAGAAGAATGCAATGGTGAACCACTTCTGAATATTTCTCATCTTGAAATTCCACCCTGTATGACTCAGAACACTGAAAGATGACATCCTTAGACTGGAAGGCACACGGTCTGCTACTGGGGAAGCACAAAAGACAAGTTTAAAAAGTACTGTTGCAAATGAAGCAACTAGATTAAAGCTCAAAAAAAAAAAGCCTAGTGGGCTGAAGTCAAAGGAAGCCAGATTTTGGTGGAATATAAGGAAAAACCTCATAACTGTTAGAGCAGTATGACAATGGAACCAATTACTTCTTGAAGTGTTGAATAGTCTAACACTGGAGGCATTCAAAGGAAAATTAAACAATTGTATGTCAGATATACTTTGATTTGAATTCCTGTTTTGAATGGGGGATTGGACTCAATGGTTTTGTAGGCCCCTTCCAACTCCATGAGACTATGATTCTATGATTCAAACACACAGTGTTAAAAGGAAACGCTGAAGCTGCATGAGATATACAGTTGTAAAATGGAGTTTTAAAAATATAAATCAAGATAAGCCGGGAGGTGTAAAATAAGAACCAGAACATTCAAACCTTGCAATATTTAGTGGGAACAAATTAAAGTGGACTGGAATGGAGTATTTCCAGCCAGACCATTACCCACAGTTTTACTTTGGAAATGATAAACTCAGAAGAAATTGAGTGGCTCCAGGAACAACAGTGTGTGGTCAGATCAAATAATATCAATCAGACTTTTTGGAAGACCTATCTACAGTCACAATTTGAGACTATGTTCCAGCTATAAGCATACTGGAGGAAACTGATCACACATCAGAACAAGATGTGCTGATAATTATTATGTATAAAAGGATGAATAAAATTATGAATGCAAAAGGATGAAACAAAGCAGAACCAAATGTTTTTGTAGAATTTAGCTTACGTGTCAGAAATGAAGCAGCAGACCGTCTCATAGAAGTCTGTGACGCCTGTAACCTGTTTGTTTCAAATACATACCTCAGGCAACGAAACACAATTTTCAATAGGGACACCACCAGATAATAACCTTTGAACTGCATTGCTGGAAGGGACCTTATAGATCATTGAGACCAGCCTCTGTCAAGGTGGCACAGTGGGGAATTGAACTCCCAACCTTTGAAAGCCAGAGACCTAAGCCACTGAGCTATCCAGAAGTTAATGACTAATGTAGATATGTCTATAAACTGGCCATAAACTGTTAATATCAGAAATTAGTGTAAAGCTGAA